CTTTATAAGCTTTCCCAGTGCAGATGTAGTCTGTGATTGCTCCTGTGCTGTGGCTTGTTGCTTGAGCCTGTCTGTTGCTATTTTCACTTGAATTTCAAGCAGATTTTCTATGCTTTGTTTGTTTTTCCCTTCATTCATTCTGCCTTTTCTTCTGTTCTGCTTTCTTCTATCTATGACCGCTGCGTTTCATCTGCTGTCTGTGTTTGCTGGTGTTACAGAGCAGTGCTGTCTATTTGCTGCTGAGTGTACCGTGGAAAGTGGTGCTGTGCAGTGAAGAGGTTTGGGGAAGGAAAAAAGGCCAGGCAGTCTATGAGGGGGAGAGAACAGATCATCTGACAGCTGCTTGTTGGCTTTGCAGGAGAATGAAGATAAACCTGCACATCTTGATGTGACCTTTTCCCTGTGCAGGCTGGAAATCCCAATCCCTAATCTCCATGTGCTTTTGCTTTTAAATTAAATAGTCCTAGCCTCTTGAGTCTCTCCTTAACATTGGCCAACCTCAAGTTGCTACCTCTGATCACTTTCACTCACCTGCTCTGAGCTGTTTGTATTTCTCCCTTGAGAAGAGATGAAAACACTGGACTATACCAAGATCTGTTCTATGGTGTCTTGGGGTCACATTTATTATTGACATAAATACTGTTTTCTAGGTGCTGAAGTGAACACATCCTGGATATAAACACAGATTTCTCTGACTGTGAACTACTTGTAAGGGAACTTCTGGCAAGTTAAGCAGGTTTTCTTTGGGTAGAAGAGAGATGGGAAGATGTGGATAGTCCTCCTATATCTATTTTAAAAATAGTAATAGGTTAAGAGAATCGTAGACTCAGGATGAAGTTTTTCAATATCCATAGTTAAATCTTTTTTTAGACTATAGTGACATAGTGTACGTTTAAGTATTCTTGACGATTTAGCCTCTTCTGGTGAGGACAAATGGTATAATGTTTAAATGCTGTTTAACTCTTTGTGCATCTCAATGTGTTGTGGTTGATTTTTTTTTTTTCCCTTATATTTTCTTCCTGGAATACATTCCTGCAAACAGAATGCAGAAAAAAAAATTCCGTCTTCACTCACTTGAATTTGACTCAATAAGAATGCTTTGCATACTGCTCAAGCTGTATGCAGACAATTGTTATAGCGATCGCTTGGGTTTTCATCAGATTTTAAACAGGTATAAAATGGTGTCCTTGGCTAGGAGATTCCATAAGTAGTTCTCTTACATAAGCAAGGTATCAGGAAGGTAAAGTTTTAAGTTTTGTTCAAATGCCTTAGCGGTCTGTGAGCAAAGAGGTTTACCTTGGGATTCATTATTGGTGTTTGAGCGATTGAAGTGCTTGAATGTTGGAGGTGCTAAGTTATGTTATTCTGTTTTGCCTTCTGAGTGATTTGTTGTGTACATGTAGGACACGCTAAGACTCAAATCAGTGTGGATTTTGGGTAGGTCAAGGGAGGTGAGGCTTAGAGGTACCTTTTTCCACTTCAGCCCTAATTCACCTTCTTGTTTTGTTAGAAGGGGTAGTTGTAAATATCTCCAGAGATGTGTTACAAAGCTGCATTAAGCTAGCATTAGCGTCTTAACGTATTAGTATTTAGCGTCTTGTAGTATTAGTGTCGCAAAGGTGATGAAAGTACTGCCCTTAAAATACATGCAATATAAAGAGTAGTATAAACACTGTATCTGCTTACTACAAAAATATCAGGCAAAATACTAAAGCATCTTGTAATTTCAAAAACTGAGAAAGCTTGTTGTGCTGCCAGAGTATTCTTAGAAAAGTAAAGGCACGGTGATTAAAGGCTTCACTGTTAGTCTATTTCCATGTCCAAATTTCCACAGACTTGCCTTTGGTCTTTTTATTTCTAGATGCCTTAAAATATCTTTCTCTGGGACATAAATTTCATATAACACTTTGCATGCTTTTTTCAAGTGAGATCTTCAACTATAGTTCCTCATCACTCTCCTACATTTCACTTCAGTGTCCATTAAACAGTATGGCCAGTGTTTTCCCTTCTACCATAACTGACTGCGTTTGTCTTGCCTGCAGGGAATATTCTGTTTGGGGACACAGTGGAATCCCATGCTTGTGGCTGTCAGGAGTGAGGTGTGCCTGGTGCAAACTTTGTATTGCCTGCACTTTCGTCTGTTAGGTGTATGACACTGACTACTTAGCCTTAATTTCTGGAGGGATTAGCATAGACTTTCCATTTGTAAAGCCTGGTTTTCTCAGGACCATGGACCAAATATTAGTCATGTGTTCTACTGCTGCAGTGGAGTTACCTGGGAGGAGCTCCAGCGTGGCCTGTGTAAAAGGCCATACGGCAAAGGCTTTCAAGGCTTCAGTGCATGTGATACAATGACATATGTAATGAATTGTAAGACTGATCCAAAATACTGAAAAAGATGCTATGCGTGTAACATTCATTTAGAAATTGAGGGTTTCTGACTTTCTAGGAGTGAGAAATGGCAGTATCTGGGCTCACGAGGGTCCACGGATCTTGTCAGGGATTCAGTGGCAGTTTCTCTTTGTACTAGCTACCTTTCTGTCCTTAGAAGGAAAAAGAGGAAGCCGCTTACGTGCCAACTATTTTCCACTGTGTCTGCTTGTAGCTGCTTTCTGGGGAATGTTAGTTTTTTTTCGTGCAGCAAGCGATTAGTGGGCATGGTGTGGATACTGCAGCCAGAGATCCCTGGCCTAGAGCCATGGGAGGGAAGGAAAGTACAAGTATTGTTGGTGAGTTCTGACATCATATGTATGCATAAAAGGGAAACGGGAAACTGTCACCTTTGATGCAGGTGAAACTTCACAATGGTAGGTAATACATGTTTTCAGATCCTGCAGATAACCTATGTGGTGTGTAAAGACCAAAATACACAGTCATTTCTTCAAAATGGCAGGTCTTCAAGTGACTTGGGGCTTTTTGGTGAACGGGGTCACCGATCCATGTGCAGAAAGACATAGATAAATAGCCTGGTCGTGCTGGTGGGATGCTGATTCCACGGAAGGGTCAGTTGTGAGTTGCTTTACCTGTCAGGGGCTATATATTACTTCATTAGGTGGGCTATGCATAACACTAATCCATGCTGAATGGAGAACAGCCCCATCTAAAAGGCTAATGCTTGCTCTGTGTTCTCCAAAGTGCTGTTCTCCTCCTTTATGTTAAATTACTATTCCTCAGCAGTGGTTCAGTCTGCACTTGATACAGGACTCCGTTGTCTCTGCTTCCACTTCCTCAAGTGGGAATCTAAGGATAAGGTTGATTCTGTTTCCAAGAGGCTGTAACTAATTGCTGCATACTTTCTTTTAAAATGGTACTTCTGGAGGAATCCCCTTTTCCTAAAAAGAATGATTTTCTGTTTGGGATGAAATCTGTAAGACAGAAAGGTTAAAACTCTTTGTGTACTGCTGGATGGTAAGAAACTAATTAAACAATAGTAAATTCAAATTATTTTCAATACAGAGTGACTTCATTGGGTCATCAGAACTAGGCCATCTACCCCCAGCCAAAATTTTGTCTCTGACTTTTGCTTGTTGTCAGCTGATACCAGTAGATTCTGGACTTCTATTTCTCAATTACTGTATATTCCTATGCAGTTCCACTCTGAAGGCTTATTCGTTGCTGCAGTGATAGTATTACCTAGCTTAGTATTGTTGACATGGGGAACATTATAAGATTATGGGGAACATTATAAGGTTATAATGAAAAAGAATATAATCAAATCATAAATTATATCGAAAATAAATGGTACACTCCAAAAATTTTTCCTGGACTTCACCAATGGTTGGTTTGTCCCATAAAGAGGTGGGTTTGCATAAGAGTTTGCTGGAATTCAAACTGCACATGAGCTTAGGCAGTGGTATAAGCCCTGCCTTTATATAGTCTGCAAACAGTAGAGAGACAAAAGTGATCAAGTCTGATTGAAAGTAGGTGATACTTCTCTGTTTTAAATAATATTTTCTCAGACTACTTTTAAGTTGGATAAAAATTCTTTTGTGATTAATACAAAATTACTACTGTCTTGAGTCAGCATTATTCTATATGTTTCTAAAAAGGTAATTGATACTATTAGAGTGTCTAATCTGAAGCTTTCAGGTGGATTGTTTGGTCTGTTTGTGGAATAGCGTTGGGGAACCTTACGTTATAAAACTGTGGCAGGGGAGCACGTGTGGTATCCCACAGGATTCATTTTTTGTGGCATGTTTATGAGAAATTCCATCCTCATTTCTGTTAGGAAAGCCTAACGTTTGCATGATCAGTTTAAATCATTGCTGCAGCCAAAACCGGTTCCACTTTTCCTTCCCACATCCTGCAGTGATTTGCACTACAGCAAAAAGCTACGGTTAGCTATACTTTGGATTCTGTGCAAACACAAGGAAAGTGAGGGTGAAAAGTGTCTGAGGATGGAAAGAAGGATACAAGAAAGGCTGGACCTGTCATTTCTGGCAGAAGTGTTGTCTTATTCCCACTGGAAGAAATGTGGTATAAATTAATGCTTTAATACAGCAATGACAGCTCTGTAAATGTGGTGGCTTGCCCATGTTTGTACCTGAGGGGGGTGTTAGCTTTACCATACAGGTTGAGGTTGCTGATTCCTTTTGGTTGAATCTATTTTGCTATATATCATCAGAAAATCAGAGCAGGTGGATGAGATTTGAAAAAGTCAAGTGGCATTTTTAGTTTATAAAAAGTAGTGGACACATATTTTGAACAGGGCTTGTTAAACCTCTCTAGGCACCTATGCTCCATTAGGCAGAATGCAAAATAAAGACAAAATTTACCCAATCTCTGTGAAAGCCAGATACAAACTCCAGAACTCTTTGTGTTTTGATTCTTTATCTTAACAACCATACTGCCCTTTTGCCCTGATTTAGGCTGTACAAGCTATGTCTTGTTTATTCACATTTTGCTCTCTTTGTTCCTTTTAGGGATAGCTTAACTGATTTTCATTATGAAGTAAGTTTGAAAAAATGTATAATAGTTATTTTCTTTATTGTCCTAGCATTGATATGTTAATGTCTTCTGATAAAGAAAAGGACCCAGATGTTATTCCTGAAGACAGCAGTCTGCTAACTCTTCGGTATGTCGTTACGGTACACTCACAGTACCCTGATATGGGGTGGGGTGGAAAACAAGCACAAAAGCATGGCTGCCTGCTTGTTCCCTTTCCAGGCAATGGCGTACTTTCTGAAGCAGTGTCCAGAAATACTCTTAAGGGCAGAAACACCAGCTTATGGTAGGATAATTGGTATGAGCCTTCTGCTTGAATGTTAGGAATTTTTTATTAAGATATACAGAATATGCCATCTTTCTTACTGGAAGAACTTAGGATTTCTGGACTTAGGTACTTCTGAACTAGCGCATAAATTTGGAGTGTGCAGGGGTCTTCTCATAATCATGTGCGGGAGGTTTCCCCAAAGCCTTGTGAAATAAATCTGGAGCTCTTACCTCTAGTTACCCAGAGTCACATTGTAACAGCCAAAGTGTATGTACTGAAGTTGTAGCCAGATACCTCTTTATCTGAACCCACTCTTTATGGAATTCATTGATACTACTGGTGCATTTCAGAGGTTGAGCAATATATGTTAAGTTTCTATCAGTTAGTGAACTTTGAACTCATACTTGGCCAGTTCAGGCCTTTGCTGTACTTGAATTTCAGTTTGCATAGTACTAATGTAAAGAAACGTGTTAAGGTTGTGATCAGTGTTAAGTTTGATTGTCACTGAAAACCTTCAGGATGCTCTGGAGGGTAAATAGACTCGTCCTGGAAGTTAAAAAGGATTTGATGTTCATGCAGTGGTTAAATACATGTATTTTAGTAGATACACTATGTATGATACTCTTTCTTCTACAAATGGTACTGAAGTTTTTTTAGAGAAGTATTTATGTCATGAGGTTGAGAATATTTATGGTCTTTTTCTTTTTTTTTGCTTCAACATGAATTGAATTTCTCTAAAGTGGGAGGGATAGTTGAAACAGCTTCCTCAAAGGTAACAGAGTGTTCTTTCTAGGAGAGCCTCTTCAGACAACATTTTGTTGTTTTTTCTCATAAGTGTAAAACTGCCCACAAACAACCTATAATTTGCACATAAGGGGAAAGAAAAACACAAGCTGAAATCCACAAGCTGGCCTGTGTACTGCCAGGTTTTATGGGAGTCAGGAGACAAGAGTATTGTAAGTTACTCTGTCATACTAAGCCACAAATCCTGCTCTTGGAAAGCTGCACTGTAGTAGCTTGTGTCGTTTAAAAAATATACCTAGAGATTCTGCATGGAAGTTGTTGAATGAAACTTTATCCTGTGTTCCTGCCCCTCAGAATTAGAAAGAAGGCATTAGAGAAGAGAGAAGAAACAATTATTGTGGATCGGGCTTGCAGACAAGAAACTCTTGCTTATGCGATGGTAAGTTCCCTGTCATCTTGTAGGATCTCAAGACAGTTCAGCACAGCCAAAATCCAGCTTCTGGGTGTTTTTTTTTTTTCCATCGCTGTGGATCTCTGTATACTGTTAAGTATTTGCAGATATGAGTTTGCAGGTAATGATTAAGATTAAAGACATTTTATAGAAAGATAGGACAGGAACTTTGCTCTTACAGTCCGTTAGTAGGGACTGTAGTAAGGAGGAACTCCAGCTCATTACCACTGTATGACTGCTTTTATTTGGTTGCTATTAAAGCAGGGGATCAAGTGTACTGAGCATCGTGTGAACTTATTGTAGAGCTAGACAAGATGTGTAATGTTTTTGCTCCTGGAGTCCTGTGTTGGAATCTAAGCTTTAATGTGTCAGTGATTGTGAGCTAGTTTCTGTAGGGCTGAAAGAGGAAGACGGTAGGAACATGGTGGCAGTAAGTTCCTAATTCTGAGCTTTGTAACCCAAATTTCTCAGCCGTTCTGAGCTGTCAGGAGACAGGAGTGTAGTGGTCAGCCCCTCAAAAGCCATCTTGGAATTCCTTTAACTATTCTTAGTACCTCTTTTTTTAAGATTTTTTCACAACCATGAAAGTCCTAAACAGGAAAACTTAAGTTCTTAAATTTTGCAATGCCAGAGAACTTGGCTTGAATAAGCAAGCCATGAACTACTGTAAAAATTAGGGATGAAGGTGTAGTGAGGAAGGAGCCTCACTTGTCACTATTAAACATTTTTTCCCCTTGAGGTTTCCTGGTCTGTCATGAGTGATCTTGTTTCAACTGTCCAGAGGCCCAGGTGCATAATGTAAAAATCATGCATCAGCTGAGGTGCAACAACTGTGTTGGGCTCTTAGCCTAGGGCATATCTGAGAAAATATTTGCCATAGAAATCTTCATAAAGGGTTTCAATGAGTAGTGTCTTATTTCTATTTCTGAAGAACGAGCATGTGGTCAGTTACTGCATCCTTTAAGCAAGCTGTGGTAACTGGTTTGTGTGTCAGAGTTGGTTGTGACCACAGTGTCCTAGAACAGGATGAGAGCAATAAGAAATGTGAGTTTGGAATGTGTCGCATGAAGAAGGGAGATGGAAGGGATAGAGCACAAGTATCTCTGAACTGAAGTCTCACAGCAGTACATGCTCCTGTTACTAAATCTGAAGAACACTTCGTGCTGGTGGAAGGTGTTTGTGCAGTCAGTATTCTCTCTTGGTTTATTGAAAAAGGAGAAAACTGACTGTCACAGAAAAGTGCCCTCCCTCATCCTCCCAGCTGGACTATGTCTTAAACACAAAGTAGGATGGAAATGTGGAAATGCTTTCATTTCTTTTCTAAAACATAGCAGCGTGGCAAGGGCAGTGCTGGATTTTGGTTTTGGATTTTGGAGAAATTGAGACCTCCAGCTATGTCAAGCTTCCCTAATAAGAGGCAGTGTTGCACTAATTTTTATTTTCATATACTTCATCCTATGGCTAGTTTCTAGGTCAGTCTTTCTCAAGTTAAGGGTTGCAATCCTCCTTTACATGTGAAAGCATTCAAGAGCATTTCAAAGCATTAAGTGATGGAAGTTGGTAACAGCTGGGTTCCATGAGGACAGAGTGGCAGTAGGCTTTAATTCCTTTATGCAGGGCCTCTCAGTAGCCAAGGAATAGCCAGCTGTCTTGTAATTGCTGAAAGCACCTCAGCTTCTCCATAGCTAAGGAATGTAGGAAAATGCTTGAAATCAGTAATTACAGCAGTTTCTCACCTTTCCATCTTGGAGAAAGTAGGCTGTTACCAATTCAGAAGGCTACACAGTCAAAAATGAGTTACGGTTAGAATAGCGCTTATCACACTTTTATCCAGGGGCTATGATATATAAGTGGTTGCCAATATAATATATATGCGTATCTTTATTTTTCCAGGAGTCACATGCAATTGGAAAGAAGCCAGACAATCCAACAGATCTAGTTGAGGAGGGAGAACTACTTTTAACTCTGAACGTCTTCTATCCTGTCATATTTCAGAAGGTTGGTACTAAATTCTCTAGGTTGTATTCTGATGTCTCTTCCCTACTCAGGTAATATCTTGCTTTCCCAAGCAGATAAAATCAGTGAGTCCACTGAGGGAGCGTGGTAAACCCTTCAACTGTGGTAACTTCTTAAGGCTTTTTCAGAATCTGGCTTTCATTCTGTTAGTGGTTTACAGAAGGAAATTTTTACAATAATTACTCAGCAGTTAATTAATTTCACAGAAAGCTCAAAATCTGAAACTAAATACGTGAAAACGACAGTACTCTTTCTGGATTTGGGATAAGTGTGCTCAGACTTTCTATCTTTCCTGCACTTTTCTGTGGGGAATGTGACTTTTGAGTTTCTGAATAAAACTAATAAATGGCAGCCTTAGGAGAGGCTGAGGCAAGATGCTGTTTGAAATCTTGTACAGAGAGGTGATGGTACACTGCTTTAATGACCTCAAGCTGTCAGCTGAAGAGCAGTACTAATGCTGACAAGTGATTTTTATTTGAAGCTTGTATGCTCTTTTCTTCATAGCATAAAGATCACAAACCCTATCAGACAGTCCTTGTACTGGGCAGCCAGAAGCTCACCGAGCTGAGAGACTCGATTTCCTGTGTCAGTGACCTTCAAATAGGTGGTGAGTTCAGCAGTCAGCCAGATCAAGCACCAGAGCACATCAGCAAGGTAAAACCTTCTATTTGGAACCCTCTACATGTGTAGGAGCTTCGAAAACATAGGAGAGGGGGAGGCAGAGTTTTGCTTTGTTGTTTTTTCTTCAGCACTAAATTAGGCTGCATTGGTTCTGCCTGTGGGTTGCACTGCAAGTAAATACTTCCTGGTGGCATTACCAAGCTGACCTGTTTTGTGTGATGTCAAGAAAAACATCATTAATGCTACCACTGGGAAGTAGTAACACTGGCGGTGAGTTCCTGCATAGATGGCTCCCTGTGGACTGACTTTACTTTGAGCTATATTCTAAGACACCAGAGGTAATAGAAAGCTAAATGTAGACCATCCCTCTTTGAACTTACATGCTTTGGTGTTTGCAACTGGATGCTGATCAAAAGTAGGAATGAAGATTATTCCCCTCTCCCACAATTGCCACATGTTCTCTGGGGATGTGCAAAAGGGGTCCATAAAGAAAAAGCACTCTAATTGAAAATACTGAAATTGCATAATTTTGATAATATATTATATCACATATATATCATATCACAGAATGGTTGAGGCTGAAAGGGACCTCTGGACGTCATCTGGTCCAACCCCCTGCTCAAGCAAGGCCACCTAGAGCTGGTTACCCAGGACCGTGTCCAGACAGCTTTTGAATATCTCCGAGGACAGAGACTCCACAACCTCTGTGGGCAACCTGTGCCAGTGCTCGGTCACCCTCACAGTGAAAAAGTGTTTCCTGATGTTCAGACGGAACCTCCTGTGTTTCAGTTTGTGCCCATTGCCTCTGGTCCTGTCACTGGGCACCACTGAAAAGAGCCTGGCTGCGTCTTCTTTGTATCCTCCCTTCAAGTATTTATACACAAGGATAAGATCCCCCTGAGCCTGCTCTTCTCCAGGCTGAACAGTTCCAGCAATCTCAGCCTCTTCTTATAGGAGAGATGCTCCCATCCCTTCATCTTCATGATGCTTGTGGGACTCTCTCTCCAGTACATCCATGTCTCTCTTGTACTGAGGAGCTCCGAACTGGACACAGGACTCCAGTGTGGCCTCACCAGTGCTGAAGAGAGGGAAAGGATCACCTCCCTCGACCTGCTGGCAATACTTTGGCTAATGTAGTACAGGATCCCACTTGCCTTCTTTGCTGCAAGGGCACATTGCTGGCTCGTGGTCAAGGTGGTGTCCACCAGGACTCCCTGGTCCTTTTCTGGCAAGCTGCTTTCCAGCTGAGGGGCTCTCAGCATATAGTGGTGCATGGGGTTGTTCCTCCCCAGGTGCAGGACCTTGCACTTCTCCTTGTTGAACTTCATGAGGTTTCTGTCGGCCCATTTCTCCAGCCTTTCAAGGTCCTTCTGGACAGCAGCTCAATCATCTGGTATATCAGCCGCTCCTCCCAGTTTTGTGTCATCTGCACACTTGTTGAGGGTACACTCTGCCCCATCATCCAGATCATTAATGAAGATGTTGAACAGGGCTGAATC